GTGTGCCAGAAGTCTGCTAGGCTCAGGGGCTCAAGGGAAAACCTCTGGATGTGGCTGTCCTTCCCCCCTCCGCTTCCCAAGACACCTGCTAACTCTCTCAAAGGGAGCACAGAGACACAGTGCAAATAGGAGTGGAGAAGTCACTAGAGGAGATTCTGCAAAGGAAATGCTGGAGCAACTGGGGGGATTGACCCAGCTCAGATGGTGAAACAGGAAGGTCCTCCCAAGAGTCTGGGGGAGCCCAGCCTCGGGGCTCTGTGTGTGTGTAGAGTCTGGGGGAGCCCAGCCTCGGGGCTCTGTGTGTGTGTATTTATGTGCACACATGTGCAAGTGGTGCCGAGGACGTGGGAGTGTCCCATCACTTTTCCCTGAGACCTGGGACTTTCTTGGCCGCAAGTGGAGCTTCTAACCCCAGAGGCCCTGGCATCTCAGAGCTGCAAGTTCCCTCGAAGCAGTGACACTCCGGCAGTATCAGTGTGGCCACTAATCTCCTGAGGATCTTGGTAAAATAACATGCAGATCCTGACCTCGTAGGTCCAGGACGCTGCCTGCAATTCTGCATTTCCCAGAAGCTCCCGGGAGGTGCTGGCGCTGCTGGTCCAAGGCTGTCATCTCAAATCAGGCCCCTCAGTACTTCCCCGCTCCGGCCATGTTTGCCCTTTCTGTGAACCACCACTGCAGCCATATTTGTGAACCACATGGACTGTTATTTATTAATCTTTTTTCTTTAAGTTAATCTACCCTTTCACTTAATCTCATCTTTTTCTAATGCATTTTTATGATAAATTGACAAACATTACAATTTTTAAAATGTTTATGACTCGTGCTGCCTCAAACCACTTTATCTACTCAGGGCTTTCCTGAGACTCAGAGTAAGGTTAATTTAATATGTTAAAATAATTTAATATTCTGTGTCCTTTTCTCTATTTGCCCACCTCCAAAGGACAACTGTGTCCAGAGAGTAACTTGAGTGGATTTTTCTGTGAATTGATGCTTACATTGTTTGCAGTAATTAATTTGAGTGAACAGTACAAAGTGGACGTCATTTAGAGAGTTCCGAATGGAACAAAGAGACATTTTTCAGGTCAGAGAGAACAGATGCAGGAATGAGCTTATTTAGCAAACATTGTGGGCTGCTCACCACGACCACTCAGCTGATCACCCGCATTGAGAGAGATTCAGCCACATGCTATGAACACATCTGGCTCAGAGAGCAGTGACCGATCTTGCCTTCCTTTTTGTTGGTTTTGGCTCAATTTATTCCTTCCCCTCAAATATTTTTGCTGGGACTAAGCAATCCAGACCAACTAGAAGGCATAATCTGGTGGAGAAAAAAAAAAAAAAAAACAGACGGAGCCCTGTGAAAATATTTTCAAGGGTCAGAGTATACCTGGGCCACGCTGTCTCAATTAGTGACCCCCTAAGGAATTTCACTATGTCCTGCTGTGCTGTTTTCTGCTTGTTCTTCGTTTCATAACAGGAGAAGCCCTGTGAACCTCCTGATGCCAGAAACACACATGCTCTGTTTCACAAGCTCAATGGTTCAGATTATATTTGATTCCTTTCACCCCTCAGGACTCAAAATGTCGTCTGTGCATAGACAAGCGGTGTTGTCGAGGAGGAGCTGGTGAGAAATGCAGACTCCCAGGCCCCTCCCAGACCTCTTGAATCAGAACTACTTTTAAAAAGACCCCCGAGGGGTTTCCAGGGATGATATTATCGCAGGAGCACACTGGGTTTCTTTTGTTTTTGTTTGTTTGTTTGTTTGTTTTTTTGAGATAGAGTCTGAGTGCCGTGGCGTCAGCCTAGCTCACAGCAACCTCAAACTCCTGGGCTCAAGCGATCCTCCTGCCTCAGCCTCCCGAGTAGCTGGGTTGACAGGCATGCGCCACCATGTCTGTATGTTTTTTAGTTGGTTAATTAATTTCTTTCTATTTTTAATAGAGACAGGGTCTCACTCTTGCTCAGGCTGGTCTCGAACTCTTGACCTCGAGCGATCCGCCCGCCTCGGCATCCCAGAGTGCTAAAATTACAGGCGTGAGCCACCGCGCCCGGCTCACACTGGTTTTTTTTTAATGTGGGTGCACATCAGGACGGTCTACCGAGCTTTAAAACACAGATGCAGGAATGCCCTGAAGGAGCCGCTTGCATGCTTGGCGCCTGGAAGTTGCCATGGCAGCTGGCACGGGCTCCCTTTCCCCAGGAAAGGAAGGGCCAGGCACTGCTGCCCTGCCACTCATTTCGGTATCATTTCTAGACCTTCTCCCCGCCGGATCCCGCCTCCCTTTTCCACTGTCCCCAGTGCCCCTTGTTTATGGTCCACGTCTGTCTGGTCTTTTCCACTTTTAAATTTTCTTTTCTAAAATGCATTCAGAGTCAACAGGAAAAGGTCTTAAAGATGAATTTGTCATATAATATATGCAACAAAAATGTCTTCTCATGTACTTGAGGAGCCCAGACTCTTTTCCCTGCTTGCCAAGGTGCCCCATTGTCTGAAAACGGCTGGCTCCACTGTTTGGGAGCGGTTTTGCTAAATCTATTCCCTGCTGTAGCACAGGGAACTATACGTACGCTTCCAAAACGTCCCTTCTGACTCTGTTTCCATTTCCCGATATGTAACCTACCCTGAATTACACTTTATCATTGTCTGCCACGTCTCGTTTTCATTTACGCGGTATGTTTTATACTGCAGTGTACAGAATACTCATGGAAAAGGGCACAACTGCGTATAGTTTAGCAAGTGCCCTTGTAGCCGCCACCCTCGTGGTTGAGACTTGGTATAGTGTGTGGCCGATTTTCATAAATATTCTGTATGTGCTCAAAAAGAGAAAAACCGGATGCTGCAGTTTGGGGGGTGGGGGCAGCGTCCTATTTATTATGCCAAATTTGCTATTGTATTGTTCTTATCTTCTATACCCTTACTGATTTTTTTGTCTGCTTGTTCTATTAGTCACTGAGAGAAATGTGTTAAAACTCTCCACTATAATTGTGGATTCCTTTCCTTTTAATTGTGTCAATTTTCACTTTATAGAATTTGCAGCTATTAGGAGCAATCAAACTTTACTTTTTCTCTAATCAAATTTTAAATTATTGTGTTTTCCTGGAGGATTAAAATTTTTATTGTATGAGCAACTCTTATCTCTAGTAGTGTTAAATTCTCTTTTTATTTGTGCAATTTATCTGCAGATTGTGGGATATTTTCAACATACACAATAACATCCTCTATGAATAATGACATTTTTTTTTTCCTGGCCTCATGCTTTGGTTTGGACCTCTAGCACAATGTTGAATAGCAGTGGGGATGGCAGGAGACCTTGCCATGTTCTGAATATCATGTGACATTACCGCCATTAAGTATGCATGTGGAGTTTCCTTAATATCAAATGTAAGTCAAATCAGGTCACTCTGCTGCTCAAAACTCTCTAGTGGCTTCCCCACCCCAGCCAGAGACAAAGTCTTTGCAGTGACCTTCAAGGTTCTGCCTGACCTGACCCCTCATTGTTCCTGTGACCTGTTCTCTTACTACTCTCTCTCATTCAAACTACCCAGGCACTGCACACTCTCTGCTGTTTCCCCAACACTTCAGCTTGGTGCTGCCCCAGGGCCTTTGCACTGGCTGTTTCCTTTGCCTGGAATGCTCTTCCCTGAGATAACCCCCAGGCCAGCTTCCTCACTTCCTTTAGGTCTTTGTTCCAAACTGTCCTTCTCATGGTAGCCTTAGTGACAGCCTTATCTAAAATGTCAACTACCAGCCAGGCATGGTGGCTCACGCCTGTAATCCTAGTACTCTGGGAGGCCAAGGCAGGTAGATTGCTTAAGGTCAGGAGTTCAAAACCAGCTCTGAGCAAGACCCCGTCTCTACTAAAACTAGAAAGAAATTAATTGACCAACTAAAAAATATATATATACAAAAAATTAGCTGGGCATGGTGGCGCATGCCTGTAGTCCCAGCTACTTGGGAGGCTGAGGCAGCAGGATTGCTTGAGCCCAGGAGTTTGAGGTTGCTGTGATGCCACGGCACTCACTCTAGCCTGGACAACAAAGTTAGACTCTCTCTCAAAAAATAAAAAAAAAAATAAAATAAAATGTCAACTACCACCCCAACATTTTATATCTCTTTCCTTCATTGTATCTCTCTGGCATATCACTATTTGGCATATTATATGTGTTTCTTGTATATCAAGCCTGACTCATTCATTTATTCAAGAGACAGTGGTTGAGTGAGCCTCTGAGCTGGGCCCCGTTCCGGGTACGGGATGCAGCTGTAAACCAGACAGCCCCAGTTCCGGGCCTCTCCGAGCATGCGTCTGGCGGGGAGCAGACAAACCATGTTGCTCCTTCTCCATTCTCTTAAGAGAAAAAATCCCTTCTCTTGCTTCCTTTTTCCTTCCCAGCTTCTGCCCTATTTTTTCGCTGTTTTGTAGCCAAGCTCACAAGAGCTGCCAATACTTACTCTGTCTCCAAGTTTCTCTCCTCTCATTACTTCCTACAGCACCTCGGCCAGGCCTTCACTTGCCTAACAAAGCTGTCTTGCCAGGGCGGCTGGTGACCCCTTCCCCACGTGGCCAACTCCAGTGGTGAGTTGTCAGCTGCACGTGGCCCAGGTCATGATTCCTCCTCCTGGCGCAACGTCCCCAGTCTGCTCCCAGGGAGGACGTGCTCTCAGTTTCCCTTCTGCCCTGCAGGCTGCTACTTTGCAGTCTCCTTTGCGGATTCCTCGTCTCCCCCGGATCCCATGGGGTCAGAGCACCCCAGGGCCCCTCTCCTACACTCACCTACCTCCTTGGCACATGCACCTCTTTTATGGCTTTAAAACCCTCTACGCTGCTAAATCCCAACGTTGTATCTCTAGCCCAGACCGCACTTAGATGTCTAGACCTGTTTGTATAACATTCCCCCGACATCCCCTTTTGGGTGTCTGAAAGCCATCTTGGACTCATCTGAAAGAGAATTCCTGATCTTTGCTCCACCCTTCCTCCCTAAAAACCTCACTCCTGGTCTCCGTTGATACGCAGTCTAACCTAGCAGTTGCTCAGCTCAAAACCCTTGGAGTCACCCTTGAGTCCTTACTCTCATCTCCCACTTTCAGCCTGTGTTGATGTCCTATTAGTGTTACCTCAGAATTATATCTAGAACCAAATCGTCTTCACTGCTGCTGGGAGTGTACATCGGCAACTTGGCAAACTTTTGGGCAGTGCCCACTAATGGCGAACATTCATACATGCTGTGGTCCAGCAGCGGCACTCCTAGATGGACGCATCCACGCCGAAAGGTCCACACCGGATGTCTACAGTAGCACTCGTCGTACCAGCTCCAAACTGGAAAAACCCCACCTGTTCAGCGACAGTACAATGGATAATAAATTGTGGAGGATTCACACAGGGGAGCACAGTACAGCAGTGAGAATGACAGGCGACTGCTGCCTGCAATAGCAGGATCGACTGTCACACGTGGCGTTGAGACACGCTGGGCGCAGTGGCGCATGCGCCGTATGATTCCACGCACATGAAGTTCAAAACAATCCGGGTGAGTCGCAGGTGCTAGGAGTCAGGGCAGTCGTTGCCTTGGGGAGGAGATGGGGCTGGAAGGCTGCACAGGAGACCTCTGTGGGTGCAGACAATGGGCGATCCTTCATCTGGGTACTAGTTAAACACGCTGTTCACTTTGTGAAAATTCTCTGGGCTGTATACTTGTGATTTGTGCACTTTGCTGTATGTAAGTTTTATTTAAAGTGAAAAAAGAATCCAGTTTCAACCATCCTCGTCACCTCTACACGCCTACCTTGGTCTAAGCTACTGCCACTGCTCACCTGGACGACTCCTGAGTCACCCCTGCTCCCAGTCTTGGCCAAGTCTATTCTTACTACAGCCACAGAGTGGTCCATTTTAATGGCGTCAGGTTTTAGCATCCTAAGACTCACAATCCTGCTTCTCATTTCCTTCAGGGTAAAGTGCTGAGTCTTTACAACAGCCCCCGCTGGTGTAACCGCCCCCCAACTGAACAAATTTCAATGACCCCTGTATAGTCCTCTCCCTTAACTACTTGACCTTTTGAGTCGTTTCCCTGAAATGGTGGATTTTCTGCAAGTCAAAGCAGCTGAGATTTTGAAGGCCCCTGGGAGGACTTCCTGACAACATTCACCACTCCCGACAAGCTGTCCCCAGTGCGTGAGCCCCTTGTTAGTTACACCACGACCTGCCCCAAGACATGTGGCCTCTTCTTTAAAAAGTCTATGATCTCCAGTAGTCCAAGAGACAGATTTGAGGCGGCACCTCCTGTTATCTTGACATCTATTGTGTTAAAAATTCCTTTTGTCCTTAACACTTCTCTCAGCTCACATCTATGGCAACAGAGAAGGAAAAATGCCCTCACGTTTGGTAAATGAATGGGTCAGCCCAGTAGCAGGGTACAAGCCCCAAATAGTTTACTGCGGCTCTACAGTCCCACGAGAGGGCTGCAAGACAGTGTTGGGGGGAAATCCTCCCAGTGGGCAGAACCTCAAGCAGTACACTTGATCAGCATGGTGTGGAGGGAGAAGGGGATAGAGACAAGAATATATAGAGACTCTGGGAGTGGTGAATGGTTTGATTGGAGGCTCAGGGTTCCAGAAAGAACAGCAGCGGCGGCATTAGGGTCTCATAGGAGCAAGGACCTTACTGTAAACTGCAGTTGGTTGCCCGCTCCTTATGAGATCGCATGCCTGCTGATCTGAGGTGGAGCTGAGGTGGTGATACTAGCGCTGGGGAGCGGCCTCAAATACAGATTGTCACTAGCAGAGAGGATTGACGGTGCAATGACTATAATGCGCTCGAAGCATCCCCAAAACACATTCCCCATTGCCACCAGGTCCATGGAAAAACTGTCTTCCTTGAAACTGGTCCCTGGTGCCAAAAAGGTTGGGGACGGTTGATCTAGCTACTGGCTGCTACTGGATGTCTCACCTGTTAGCAATAGAAATCTGTGCTGAGCCCAACACAGTGTTACCATTCTAGGAGAACAATCAGCCAATTTGTTACAAGTTGATTACAATGGACCTTTTCCACTCTGGAGGCGGCAGGGGCTAATCTTTATTTCAACTGATACATACCGTCATATGCCAAATAAGGACATTTTGATCAAAGACGGACCAAATATACAATGGTGTCCCATAGATTATAACTTTTTTTTTTTTACTGTAACTTTTCTATGTTTAGTTACACAAATACTTACCATTGTGTCACAACTGCCTACAGTGTTCTGTATGGTAACATGCTATACAGTTTGCATTGTATAGCCTAGGTGTGCAGTAGCCTATATCACCTAGGTTTGTGTAAGTACACTCTGTGATGGTCGCACAATGACTAAATTGTCTTGACAATGCACTTCTTGGAATGTATCCTATGGCTGAGTGCTGGGTGACTGTATTTCAGGCAAAGGTTTGCCTTACTTGTCCACCATGCCTTTGCCATTGCCTGAGGGCTCACACGGTATCTTGCATAACATCATCTCAGACCAAGGGAGCCACCTGGACAGCAGGTCTACTGGTCTTACCACATACCTACCGCATCATCTGGAAACTGCCAGCTGACTCAAAGTCACAGGAGATGGTGCCCTGTGCTGTCCTTCAAGATGTGGTGTGTACATTGAACCAACAGCCAGATTACACAGTTTTAGGAACCAAGGGGTGTGGGTAGGAGTGGCTCCTCTCACCATCATTTTGTTAGTCACTTGGGGATTTTGTGCTTCCTGACTCTGGCACTTTAGGTTTGGGGATTAGTGTTCACGGTCCCCGGGGGGTTCCACCAACAGACACGGTGAAAGTTCCACTTAACCCAAAGCTCTGGCTGCTGCCTGCTCATTTTGGGGCTCTTCAGTGCAGTAGATCAGCAGGCTAAGAAAGGACTCAGCATACTGGCCAAGGGTAACTGAGCCTAACTACCATGAGCACCTAGGGCTGTTGCAATGTAATGGGCAGGAAGGACTCATGAGGGGTGCTTCTTGGTGACACTGGGGATAACAATAAATGGGAAATTTCACAACTGCAGCATGACAGGGCAAAGTGATCAGGGGCTCAGACCCCTAAGAGAGGAAGGTCCGGGTCACCCCACTAGGCAAGCGCTGCTGACCGCAGACGTGCTGGTGGAGAGGGAGGGGAAATCTAAACTAGGTAGCAGAAGAGGGAGATGACCCATGTTAATTATGGCTTCAGGACCAATTTGCAACAGTGAAGACTGGCTTGGCCTACTCACCTTTTTGTTGATGTTTTCCTTTTTTTTTATTCATTGTTTTAAAAATATTGTGAGCATCCAGCATCCCTGAGACAGAGGGAACTTAACATGAGACACAGTTGCTACAGGTGGGAAGGAGGGGGGTGGCAGGAGATGCTGGCGGTTGTTTCAACATAGCCCCTCGATTTACCCCCAGAGGTTTTCTTTTTAAAATTGACATATAATTCACATATGACATTTATCCTTGAAAAGTTTACAATTTCGTGGTTTTTAGTATAGTCACAAAGTTGTACAACCATCACCACTATCTAATTCTAGAACATCTCATCCCTTTAAAAAGAAACCCAGTACCCATCAGCCACCCCTCCCACCCACTCCTGTGTTTGCCTGCAGACAGTTCCCATACTGGCTTCTCTTTGTCTGAGGACATTCTCTGGTGAGGGTGAACTTGGTCCACATGCGGGTCAGGCTGGACATGGCAAGGAATTAAGACCTCAGGACTGACCTGCAACCAGTGAGGGATGGAAAGTGGTGGTTAATGATCCCAGCTACCGTGTCCCTCAGTGGAAGAATTCAGAGGTGTTTTCCATACAGTGTCTCAGAGGGTCTCCAGTAGGATTGGGCCCATAGTGGTGACTATTTCAATCTGTCTCAATTCCTCAGTCTTCCACAGGATTTTCTGAAGTCACTTCCCAAAGAAACCACCTGTACCCAAATCCTTATCCTAGGGTCTATATTTAAGGAAACCAAGCTAAGACACTTTTCAAAAAAGTTATCATGAGGTCTTTGTCAAGCACCTTGCCAAAATCCTCATATTTTAATACTATGTCTCTCACTCTCTTAAAAGACAAATGAGTTTAGTTTGCCATATATGATTTTTTTTACTAGAAAGACCCATGCTGGCTCCTGGTAATTATGTTTTTTTCCCCAAGTGCTCATGAAAATCCATTTAAATAAGCTGTTAATTTGATAGTAGGCCCATTACTACTTAAAAAAATTATAAAGAATTTTCAAAGCTCAGTTTTGCTTTGTCTCCAGTGGTTTTTAAATCTGAAAAGTTAAATGATGTATTATAGGTACAAAAGAGAGGAATATACTTTACATAAGAATGACTACCTTCATCAGTCAATGTCTACAATAGGTGATAACGTAGCAGGACATTCACTTGATGGAGGAGTCGATGACACAGTGTGAAAGATGCCACAGTCCCTCCTCCCACAGCACCCAAGCCAGCTGTCATCATTCCACTCATCCTTCTCTTTAAGGCAGAGGTTACTACCTTTCTTTAAGTACAATATTTCCCCTTGGGAAATACGGAAACATTTTTTTTCTAAGTGGTATTGAAAACTGTTTTGTCTAAATACTATTGTCAAAATACTATCATCTAAATATTACTATTTTTGTCTAAATTTGAAATACTATTTTGCTGAGATAGCTTTTCTTTCTGAAAGACTTGCTTATGTGTGAGAAATTATGTTTTGAATTCTAATGGGAAAGCATTGGAACGTATGCATTAACACATAAGTGGAGGAAGATCATTAATGCCAAATTTCTGCAACCCAATATATGTAAAAGCATCAAGCATTTAAAATTCAAACATGTCTATAAATCTATTTCAGTAAATCAGAATGGAAACAACAAACAGCAAGGCTTTATCAAATAGGATTACACATTCATTGTAGAGCAATATTTTCCTTATGATGAGTTTTATAAGACATAAGCAAATAATCATTTAAATATTTATTTAATAGAGACTCAAAATGAAATACATAAAGAGAAAAAATAAACATTTAAGTGTTAAACAGAAGAAATCAATAATAAAAGCCCTTTACATTTTATTTTTGTCAAGAAAAAGTCTGAGTAATAACTTAGCAGGACCCTTGAATTAAGTTAAACCAAAGCTGCATCATGATGGCCACCAATGCACAGACTGCCTACCTAGCTTAGCACAAAGTTTAATCAAGGCTTGAACCAACATTCTTAGAAATCCAAAATGTATGGACTAAAAAGGCTTTCTTTCTCAGTCAAATAGGATAAATCTTAAAGCTGGGAAACTACTGAAAAAAATAAAAAATTTAAAACTATATTTTGCTAAGGGTATAAAATTAAAAAACAAACCAACAAAAAACCCAGAAGCACTAAAATGTGTTTATATAAGAAAGAATCATCATGTTGATTTATGGCAAAAAACATCATATTTGTTTATCTAAATGCTGGGCATAGTTAGATTTTAAGGTTTCAGAAATATTTTTGAATTTATTAGTGAGCAACTGGAACATACCATACAGAATATTTCAAAATTGCTACCAAAAGCAAGTTGAAATTCTACCAACAATATAGGTTTTTCCACATGTCTTCTTTTTCTACTAGCAACAAACTGAGAAAGTAGGGAGAAAATAATTAAATGGTTTCTGAAGGACACACTAGTCTAAAATTTAGTTAGGAGTTCTGTTTCTGAATTATATAGAACATCTTGGCCTACAAATAATGGAATGGACTTTGGAGAGAATAACATTTTGGGCTAAAGAAATATAGGGTTAGACTGAAGCCCTCAGCAAAGGCTCTAAAAGATTACAGAAAGTGATGAGTGACTTATACTGGCTTGTCACTGGATTTTATTCTCTCCCATCTCTGATTCACCTTCTTAAGGCTGCCTTCTGTGTCCTCTTGGAGGGAAGTTATCTAAGCCTTTATCATTTATTCCTCAATATTTTAACATAAAGCCTATAAGAAAAACAATAAATTTAAGGCTAATATTAAAAGCTTGAATAAAAATAATAATGAGCCTTATACTCTGATCAGTAAAGTCTTCTCTAGGAATAAAATCTTCATTGGTGGAAGTGGAATGTCTTAGTAGACAATGTTCATTTTGGGTGTGACACTCTTACTTTTAGAAGTGGGAAAAATTACTAAATATAATGTATAAAGAGTAAATGCTTTTGTTCTGAGGGATTACTGCTTTATGGACTTGATTTTATTTATCCTTATAGTATACCATTGCATTACACAATTGCAGATATGATGCCCAATTTCTAATGATTTATCCCAAATCACCTGAGAAAAAGCAGGACACCAATGGAAATATATTTAAAACCTCCTAAGAATGCAATTAATTACTGTAGATGCACATAAATAAACTATAATCAAAAGTCCAAACTGAGGTCTGCTAACTGATTTTATGTTGAGTATAAGTATCTTTAAATGTGTTCTTATTTAATGTGTAATTTAAAAGAATATTCTGGAAACAAACATAAAGATTACATTTATTCTGAGACCAGATATAATACTTTCTAAACTGCATAAGTACAGGATGGATCTGACTTCTCCATCAGCAATACAAACTCATAAATCATGCTGCAAAAAATGTCTGAACCTCCTCTGATGGATTACATTTAAGAAGTTAACTGAATCCTTAGGTTCACTGCTGCTACTTTTCCTTATAATTGGTAAATATGCTGCCCATAATAGTGTTAACATTTCCAATGAATTCATACTTTTTTTGATACTCAAATAGAGTAAATGAATTAAGATTTAAATTTCAAAAGTAAAAAAGATATTTTAAATTATCTTTAATAACACTATTTTTATTTTTACCCTTGGGGAATACACAAATACAGACATTATTAGCTTCTTTAACATTTGTTAAAAAGATATACTCTTATACTAATGCAAAAGGATAATACCCTTCTTCCCACTCTAAAAATCTCTTCTTTATTGTAAAGAATCCTCACTGCATGCAAACTAAGACTCTGGAGCACTCGGCAGACAGGTGTGTGGGACTACCGGCCAGAATCACGGGGTTTTCTCTATTCTCAATTAGACAACTGAAAGTAAGAACTCTAGTTCTAAATATTAGAAGCAAAATCCAAATATTAGAAAAATAAGGAGACGGAATATGACAAAATGCTTCAAAATACATGCCTGAGGTGAGAGAGCTTATATGTTCATATTGTGGCAGCTTCGAGATGACATCTTCAGTTTTTAATCTTCAGATTCATATCTGGAAATATGAATTAAAAGCATAATGTCAGGATACTTTTGTTGTTGTTGTCCTCATTATCAAATGAATTTACTTGAAGTATGTTCAGTGACTAAACCAGTAATACTATATTTTTCACTTAAAATGACTGCTATGGTAGAAGTCAGACACATTCAAGGTATTACGATGGTGAATTAGGGGGGACTTCTGCATCAGGTGGGAAGATGGACCAGGTAACTGCCAAGACTCCAAGTCTCCATATTTGGCATTTATACCTGTGATAGCTTAGTATAGTTATCTCAATTGTCAGATCAACAAGAATAGTTGCTATGACTCTGTGAGCAAAGGGTTAACAAACCCTATTCTCTAAGGACACAGCTGATCTTGAATTTGCTTTCTAGCTCTGTTGCCCTGGAACTCTGATAAAAGTAAAATGTCACCTGAGTTTCCAGGCAAAATGCCTGAAAATAAAAATGACCCCAAAAAATAGATTGCATCTGGACTAGGAGGACTGTGAGTACATTATAAATACATGGTAGGAGCCACACTTCAGATTTCCCAGGGTAATAGTTCTTGTAACTGAACATGTCCCTAACTGGGCATCACGTAACTGCTACAACAGATACAGATTCTATGTACAGCATGGACTTTTAAGCCAAGCTGGCTATGGCATCCATTTACATGGATCTCATTCTCTCCAACCTAAACTGTCACTTGAGGGCACAATATAACCAGCTCTTAGACTGCACAAGGACACCAATGAGAAGAATTGCTAATGCTGCCCTGTTAGCTTGCTGTGTTTCCTGTCAAGTATCCTGCTAAGTAAATCCATCACCAAGAGTAGCTTATTGTAGTCATACATGAGCCTACAGATCTAGCTGACCTAAAAAGCCCTGGTGGGCATTATAGACAAGACCAGGGTGAAGCTCCTCTGCTTTCCTCAAATGAAGGACTAAATGATCTAAATGTTCTAAATGATCAAGCAACTACCCACTGGCCTGACCACTCTGGACACAGCTTAGGTTTAATAGAGAACAAACATCAACTCTGGGAGATAAATCCCAAGGCAGGATCAGCATGGTTTACTTTGCCAGTCTTTTCCGTAGGTCTTTGATTTGGTCATTCTTCTTGGTAAGAATTTCTTTCATGTTTCGATAAGCAGCTGTTTGTTGAAATTTCTTCTCTAATTCCTGCTTAGTGAAAAATGTCAGCCCATTACTAAAAAATACTTAAGGAAAGAAATAACAAATGAGATCAAAATGTATATATTTTTTGTTCTAACTTTACTAATATTTTGCTTATATTATTTTCTAATTTCTTTAAAAAATACTTATATAAAATTAAGACTATTCACACTTTAAAAACATATTCTTTGAAATGAGAAGCCAACAAAATAGTAACATTTTCCCAAGTACAATGTCAGCAAATAACTCAAGCATCCTTGTAATCTATTTGAAATATTAAACTAATTTTCAGGTAAAATAAGCACAATCTTTTCCCAAATCTCAAAGTAGTGTTAGTATTTTAGGAAGAAGATTTTTAATTTAGTTAAATTTTAGTTCCATATTTTTAAGAGTCTAATTCCTAAAATGAAGAACCTAGCTCTCCACATATTACATATAAATTATGAAGAAGGTATCCTATTCAATCCTTTGAAAAACAAAAGTCATCCATTCCTGTGCAGGCTGTAGGAAGAAGGAGAAGAGTAACAGGCCCATACAGGGAGGGATGAAAGCCGCCTATAGAGGAACCTTTCACCACCCCATAGAAGGAGAGGAGATTTCTTGTCATAGATATTTTTGTACCAAATATGGAAGAATCTCAGTACCCAGAAATGACCAATCTTTAGAACATATGTTGGCTAATACATTAAGAAAAAATAATCTGAATCTGTAGTTATTTAACATTTATCTTTGTCACATTTTTTCTCTATACCGTATGTATCAGTTAATTGGACACGAATAGACAAATCCCTCAAACAAAGTCTTCTGACCTTTTCAGCCATTCTCAGCTGCTCCTGAACCCTGAGTAGATCATGCTTGGCTGTTGCCAGATTCTCCTCCAGTGACTTCTGGTTTTCTGTCTTGTCATTAAGTGTCTTCTGAAACTCACTCTTTAAAGCAGCAACTGTGTTTTCCAAGTCACTCAAGTCTTGGGCCTTTATAAAATCCTATGAAAAATGAATACATGAACATAATTTCATGTTGACATTCTAAATAATAACTGCTTTAGAATGGTGATTCAGCATCATAGGAGATAAAAGAAATGATGTGTGTGCGTGCACACCAGCCTCCCTCGACAGCCAGGTTACATGCCAGCCCTTTCAGGGCTGCCAGTAGGCCTAGCCCGTTGTCAGTCCCTGGTGTGCAGTGTCTTGCACATGGCAGATACTCAGTACCATGTTTCCCCAAAAATAAGACCTACCCATAAAATAAGCCCTAGCAGGATTTCTAAGCATTTGTGCAATATAAGCCCTACCCCGAAAATAAGACCTAGTGATGGGCGTGACGCTACGCAGCGTATCTGCACAACCCATGCATTTTGTCGCAGAGTGGTAAAGAAGACGAGCAGCCCTTCTCATCGGCCCCATGAGAGCTCTACTGCTTGACATGAGAGATTGGGGCCAATGGTTCTAAAGGATATAGTCGCAAGAAATTCAGGATAGAATTTGGGGTTTGGAGAGTTATGATGCTGTTCCAGAAGACGACAACTTAACTATATTTGAATAAATGTAGATTGTTGTACCGTACTTAAAAAAAATAATACACCCCCTGAAAATAAGCCCTAGGGTGTCTTCTTGAGGAAAAATAAATATAAGACCCTGTCTTATATTCGGGGAAATATGGTAGTTGCTGAATTGCAAATATATACAATATGATTTATGAACTGCTGGTATTCCAGTCTAAGAGGAACGGAGAGAGGTGAGATCTTAAATTTGACAACATTGTGTGTACCAGAGTTGAGATGGCAAATAGGTTTCACTTTGAAAAGGCAAGTTAAAAAAAAAAATCCTGATAAAGAATTTTGAATTCTTTAAAATGATATAGATGGAAAAATAAAAATAATACAATTTATACCAAAAATTTAATAGACATGTTTTAGTCACTATTTATAAGAAAATCCCATGAGAGCATAATTAATAACTGATTATATGGTTTTCTAAATTTACTAGACTTTGAGTTTTTATATTAATGAGATGCACACTGTTGTATACTCTGACAACTGCAGCACAATATAAGCAGCTGCATCTTCTCTCTATCTGGATATTGTTTTTGACTGGATGAGATTCGTGAGAGAAAAAAGACTTGTATTGATATGACAGGAAAATGGTCTATACTTGGTAAATATGTATATGAAGCAGTCCTTTCAACAAAAGAAAAAATCCTTGCTCAATTTTGAAATTTGGTCTCTTTAAAAAACATTTCATTTCATTGCAACTAATGAAGGTATGCATCCGTTTTGCTTTTATGTCTAAAATCTTAAAGTAAAATTGGAGCAAAGACCCAAATGGCTTTTAAACAAGTTCATCATCCAAAAATGTTTGCAATTGTTTTACTTTTGAGAAATTAAAAAGCTGTTCTGGGACATTCAGCTCTGTTTTATAAATCTATGGTCCTTGGCATACAATGATTGAAAATCATATATTTTCCTTTTTTTTTGTTGTTAGCCATTTAAGAAGTATCCCCCTACTTAAAAAATATCTATAGATGAAATGGTGAATGGTGCAATGTCTGAGATTTGCTTCAAAAAACATGGGGAGAGGGAAGAAGAAAGTAGAGGTACAGTTGAAACCAGACTGGCCACATACTGATGATTGGTGAAGGTGAGTAATGAGTATACAGGGGCTCATTATACTGTTTTTCTCTACTTTTGCATATGCTTGAAATTTTTCATAGAAAAAATTTAACAAAAATTGAATGAGGTAAATTTTTGGAAATGTTTGGCAGACATTTAATAATATCAATACAACCACTAGAAAATCCAATGCTGCACTAAAGTCACCCAAATGGTCTCATTCACACGAAATCATATTACAGCATCCACACTCAATGGAAAGGCCACAGGGGGACAAAACTGCACAGGATGTCAATCATTATACTCAGACAAGCCTGGAGAACTACAGCACCGGATTTCATTGTATTGCACAGTGCTGCAAGATACAGATGGATCTGAAGAGTCATAACCAGTCAATTCATGCCATTTGTCACACTCATCAGAAGCTAACTTACATAGTGTTCAGTCTAATAAAACCCAAACATAAATCCATTAACTAAAAACTTTTCCTTTCTTCATTTCCTTTTTTCCACTGTAATTGGATGTCAAAGTAAAAGGGGAAACACTTAAAAAAAAAATAAATTTAAGAATACCTTGCATGCTGGGGACATGCCAGGACATGTTAGGCAAGGGAGCTGTGTATCTGCCCCCTCTGCCCTAGAAGATGGACCTTGGGAAGGGCACTGGCTCTCACCTGGCCCTTCTTGGGCAAGGATGTCCCAATGCAGTGGCATCTGTGTCAGGGAGTGGCAGGTGGTAGGGGATAATGAACAGTAACTAAGACTTAATGTTCAGTTTATAACTTTATTCTACTTAGAAAATGTGAAAAGAAAGCTAAAACTATCTTCACCTTTTGATTTCCTTGATCGAGCTGTAAATCTTGCAGTGCTCTTTCTAGTTTTGATTTCTCATCCAGTGCGTTTGTAGCCTACAATGAAGTTTAAACAAAACACATTCAGTATTTAATCTGTACGGAACTCTTTCAATAATTTAGTTAAAGGATTTTTCAGTTACCTGTGTTTCTATGGTCTTCAGCCTTGACTTTAATTTCTCATTCTCTTCTTGAAGCCTTGAAATTTCCTTTGTGAGTAAATTAAGGCCTTATTATTTTAACCAAAATATTTAATATCTGAAATTACTACTTGGTTTACTTAAAAATATAATTTTAAAATTAAATGTAAATTACATAATAGTTCAAAAATGCACTATTGGTATTTTGGTAATATCCCAGTTTTCCCCAGCCTACCAGCCTCAATACCTGTGAGTCAGCTTTGGCTCTAAGACTTCCAGTTCCTCTTCTCTCAGTTTCTTAGACACACCTTTCTTCCTTCAGCCCTCTGTCCTCAGCCTTCTTATAAAGACTCCCTTCCCGCCATCTCTCCACCTAACTGGTCCTGTAGCTCTTGGGTCTATTCTCAGCCTACACTGCACGCTGCTGCCACTTATCCTGAAAGCACTATCTGTGTCATTTCAGCAACTTGTTGCTCAAGCACAAGCCCCCAAATGGTTCTGACTGAGCTGAGACCAAACGCCTTTGCTCTTCTGCAGCTCTGACACAAGGATCACTTGTCAGTCCAGTCTTACTTCTCACCAGGCTCCAACACACACTGGCCCAGAGGGCACTACGCTCTGTTCCAGGTCATGCCAGCCTTCTGTCTGCCCCTGACCAATGCCCGTTCTGTTCTCCTGACTAACGCTTCCTTTTCTTCCCTCTGACAATTAAATCTGTCTTCACCCTTCAAGGCCCTGCTTGGGTATCACCTTACCCAAGAGTTTGTTCTCACCTACTCTCATCCACATGGAACTGTGTCATCTCTGCTAACCTATGACACCTGTAGCACACAGGAGAGTATTCTCCTGTCTCTGCTTCTGAACATTAGTTCTACCTCCCCAACAAAACTATTACATTTTTGAGAGCAAGAGACCAGGTATTACACTGCTTTTTATCTCTAACAACATCTCACATAATGTTGAGAATACAGAAATCATGAAAAATATTTAATTGTACACAGGCCGAGCATACCAAATCTGAAAATCTGAAATCCAAAATCCGATGCTCAACCAGGTATATATAATGCAAATATTCCAAAATCTGAAATCTCAAACACTTTGGTCCCAAGCATTTAAGATAAGATATACTCAACATGTACCAATAATTTTTATAAATGTCTTTAAAAAATCCTCTTCCTTGTTTTATCACAGATCATAAACTTCAAATATTCATCAAGAAACACTATCCAAAACTGCATTCACTTGACTTTGAAAAGGTGTGATGGAGAGCTGTTTCAGAGCCTAGGTAAGTGTGCCCTCTTCTGGCCCACTGGGTACCATTGGTACTGTGATGGACTAATTACTCTCATTAGACCAAAGCCTGAATCAGCCTCCTTCCATCTGTTTCTCTACTTGGGAGTTGCTCAGGCAATGAAAGGACAGAATTAGAGGTTTTCCATTTCTTGAAATTATGACATTACCTTGTTTAGGAGTTCTGTCGTTCCACCTTCATTAAGTGGAACAAGTTTTGGCTTTATGGTCTCTATGACAGGCTGAAACAAAATAAAGAAACCAAACTGAAATCACCACAGAATAAACCATTTATAATCACTGAACACTTGCGCTTTCTAAGTGGAAGACACCGTATGTAAACATATCCACTGGGATATTCGTTCCACAGGCATGAGGATTTTTGTTGGTTTCACTCTCTGTTATGTCCCAGTGCCTAGGACGTACCTGGCCCAATACATGTTAGAGATAAAAATGAAACCTATCCTCCTCATATCTTGTAAAAAAAAAAATACAGAAGGAAAGGAAATGAAGGAAGAAGGGAGGCAAGGAAGGATGGAGCTCAAAGTCAGACTGATATAAATCCTTGTGTCTAGGGACTAGGATTTTAACCTGAGGGAGCTGAAACAGATTTCTACATGAACTTTAGACTCTGTGAAAAGCTATAATATAGACTTAGGCAAGTACACTACAGAAGAAAAAAACCTGGCACAAATATTCTGGCACTTTAGTAATATGTATTAAAAACAAAAGAATTCATGCTTTCTGACCCAGAAATTTCTTAGCCAAAAATATATTCCAAAAGAATAATTGGAAAATGTTTTGAGTATGTACACGGATTCATCTTAGCAGTGTTTATCCAAAAACAGGGAGTATATATGGTACATCTACAAAATGAAATGGTAAGCGGTCACTGCAGATAATGAGAATGATTAGAAAGAGAAGCAGGTAACTGCTAGTACTGTCTCTATTTGGCCGATGAGGAAAACGAGGCTCAGCCACCTCAGGTAACCTGCTCGTGGTCACACAGCTAGGGAGAGGCACAGCCAGGATGTTTACTCAAAGCCTGTGCTCTGTATCATCTGAGTGAAGAGTTTATATGGGTGGGATTCAGACTGGACTGCAGGGATTGTGTGTGTGTGTGTGTGTGTGTGTGTGTGTGTGTGTGTGTGTGTGTCTATAGATCATATTGGCAAAAACAGTTTTTCATAGTTACTTCTAAAAATTCTTATGCCTGAAAATCTGAGAGACAATTTTCAAATTCTCCTCTTGAATTGAATGATTTTCCTACAGAGTTCTCACTTTGACCTCTGAACGCTTTGAGTGACATAAGGATTTTAAATATTGGCTATTAAGATATGGATTTAGAATAACCAAAAAATTACCTTTTTATTTGAAGATGTGAATTCTGCTTTTTCAAATTCTGCAATTTGTTCTAATAATTCTCTTGAAGATAAAAGCAAATATAAAAAATTATTCAATTAAAATACATTTATGGCACACACAAGAAAAAAATCACTGGTACCAACCTATTACATGTAGACAGAATGGAGCAAGATGGACAAAACTTTACCACATGGAAATGATATTTAGTTAAAAATGGTTGAAAATCCAAATCACATGGACCCAAATTTAATCATCCACAACACCTAATATTTTGCAGCTACTAAGTATACAATATATATTGCTAGAAATAAACTACAATGTTAACACAAATATCAGCAGAACTTTTAGTCAACCCTATTTCTGAGATGCTAAGACAACTATTCTATTACTTATTAGCTCGTATGTGCTCAAGAAAGACAAACTAATTTTTAATAGCACAGCCTCAGAAAAATCGAACTATTCCATAGTATCTACTGAGAAAGAGTATTACATATTCCCAAACACTGCAGGGTGAGACATCTGACAGACACCTGACGGTTTGCAAAGGTAAACAAGAGCTGACTGCATACACGGCTACACAATGAACGGCAGTGTCTACTCTCCTAAGTTCCTTAAAACATCAGCTTTTCAGAGTTTTCTCACCAGGCACATTCTGACAGCTGCAGAAGTTAAATGATTCCTTCCCTGTCCATAAGCTGTTCTCAGCATTGTTCAATGCTTTCCACATGAGCCAAGTGCGGCCACCGTGCTGAGAGAGCAGTTCACAAGGCTCGGTGGTCTGGCCTTCCTGATTTCTGGCATGCCTTTTCTTAGAATGACTTTCAACTTCACTGATTTTACCATATTTTTGAAATTGAGCTCTTTGATACTATTCAGCTCATAAAATATTTTAAATTTTATATTTCCTATCTTAAAGATGATGTATATAATTTTAAATGTAATTATTTAGAAATAAACTTCAAATGCTACTAATCTGAATTGACAGTATTTATTATATTTGAATTAATTTTTCAACTGTTCATTTTTTTTAATTTTTTAGTTGACCTATCTATAAAGACTAACTGTAATACTGACCAAGCTAACAAAGATGCTATAAGGAATAATTAATCATAGCCTAAAAAGCAATTTCATAAATCTCAATGGCCTTTGTAATACCTTGGACAGTAGAAAGAGAGAATCTTTAAAAGGATGTTGAGTGGGACCCAAGAAATCATTCAGTGACTCAATGCTTTGCTGCTACCCCACCCAAATTTTCTCACACACTAGCCCCAAGAAAAGCAGCAGCAAAGACAATCATTAAATTTTAAGATTATGCTTGGGCTACTATTGTTACAATTGCAGATACAGATTTTATTACCTGTTTTCAAGTTCAGAGATGTCTGTCTGCAGCTTAAGATACCACTTTTCAGCTTGTGAAAACAGCTGCCGCAGAAGTAACACATTGGTGTAGGCAGTATTGATGAGCTCAGACTCCACCTCACTGTGAACCACAGCCTGCAAGCCACTCAGGACTTCAGAGACTTCATCTATGGTGAAGGTTTCCTCTACCAGCCTGAAAAACAACCATGAGCCCAAACTTCTGGATAAAACAATTTACCAATGTATAAAATACAACAAAATTAAGAAACCCACATTCATGTCATCTAAGGGATTAAAAGATGACAGTGAAAATCTCTCTGGGGACTGTCTTCTTTATTAATACAAGAGATTGAAAATAATTTAAACTCGATTTTTGCTATTCTAATCAAATGATTAAATTGTGGCTACTTCTTCAAATGTGCACATCCTTTTCTAAAAAATTTTTTTTAGTTATTTAAACATTTTTTTAAAAGAGATGGGGTCTTGATATGTTGCCTGGGCTGGTCTCAAACTCCTAGGTTCAAGCCATCTCTGCCTCAGCCTCCTGAGTTACTGGGACTACAGGTGGAAGCCACCACGCCTGCCACACATCCACTGATACCAGTACACGCTCAGAAACATTCCTCAAACCATCATGTACTTTTTTCTTAAAATTTTCAGCATTAAATGTTTTTTACTTCAATCTCCACTAAACTCAAGTTTTACAACATTTAATTTCTAAAGTCACATGGAAGGTATAGTTTCTCCTTTCTATTATTTCTCTAGCATTTTAATAATTATATGAATTATTCACATGTTAATAAATGCCTATGAGAAATAAATAGCAATTATATATTGCTTCTCTTAGCATTCTTGAGATCCCCCCCAACACAAACCTAACTTATCTTAAAGCTCTACTGACTACTCCATAAAAAATGAACATCATCAGCAACTATAGCACTAAAAATCTACTTTCACAGAGAATGTTTGGGTTGGAAGAGAACTTCAGAACCATCTTCTTCAATCCCCTAACTTTACAGACAGGAACACAGGCTTGAAGGGTGGAGGTAACTTCCTACAGTCACAATGGGAGTGACTAAACCCCACAAGCATCTTCAGCAATCTCAGCAACATGCCCAACAACTGAATCCTTGCGAAAGCTTCTGGGCACCCCTCCTGCTTTCAACCAGTTTCCTAGTAACACAGTCCCCCCCTCTCCCTGCCTCTACCCGGCAAAGTCCCTTATCTCTAAGACTCTCAGGAGGTGAAAAGCAATTGACCCAACCCCAGCTTTATATTCTTCCTCACTTCTAAAAGGACATAATCAATATCCAGTTACACTGAAGTATTATCATAGTTATACTCAAGTTAACAGTATTTGATTTACAATTCTTTAACAGTTCATCTAGTCAGCAGAATTTAACCACTCTAAAAAACTAAAATTTTATTTTTTATAAAAGTCTTTATTAAATATATTAACAATCTTTCTATAGTCTTTAATAGACATATCATGTTCTTGCCAATTAAGCTGTTGTTTTCATCTGCTGGGGGTTAGGGAACCAGATTACCTAGTTTAGTTTAATTAGTTTAACGGGTGGAATGGATAACAGCCTAAGGCTGATGGCCTCTACTGTGGAGTCGTCCATGGCTTTATGATGGTCATAGCTTACGTGGAGGTCTTCTTCACTTATGTCTGACTTGACATTCAATTACCTTCCATTACTGGTCCAACCAAACTAATAATTATCTCTTGCTACAAATCAATTAACAATTTTGGTACTAGTCAACAAGTTCTTCATGGTTTCCTATTTTCTCACTCCTAATTCTTCAATGTGAACCACGTAAGTGTTTTATCACTAATCACCATGTCTTAGGGATCTAATCTTTTAATTAATAACTCAAAGTTCTGGAATCTTTAATGCAACCATAAGTCCTTTGCACTTTTCTGACTACTCTTCTGGAACTCTGCCATACCATAATTATCATTATGTGCATGTCTAATAGAGTAACTGCTCCTACCACAATCCAATTTCTTGAGTTTCATATGTCTATGAGGCTTAGTGTAGCTGCTCTCAGTGAATAATCATAATAATTCCAAAAACAGTTGTTATGGCTTCTGTTATGGCATCCCCATGCTGGTTACCAGAAGGAATCCATATTCCTATTTGGTTTCCTTACAGTCCTCTGATACCTGCTCTCCTTGAGGTCTTGGAAGCAGGAATCTACAGTTTTGAGTCTCAAGCCCCTCTTTGAACGAGCAAATCGCATATAATTAATAACTTCATTTTGATGGTGCTCATTTAGGCCCAACTCTGCCTGAAAGAGAGAGAAGTAATTTGACTGTTAGTCTTGAGGAGAGCCAACAATGAAAATACACAGTATTCTGTGGTAGAGACTGATAGATGTCCATCAAATTCTGTTCTTCTCTACCCACCCTTCATGGCCTAACCTGTCTTACCTGCGCTGTGATGCCTCTCAATATACCCTCAGTGAGTCCAGTTATGCCCTTCTCCAAAAACCAGCATATATCATCTCTGCTACTTCTTTGGTAGCACCACAGATCGATTACTACCTTGTACTAATAGTCATTTGTTTTTCAGGTGTTGCTCCTCCAACTAGATTGTAAGCTCCCTGAGGGCATGAATAATTTCTTATACTACATGACACCTAGCATAGTACCTTGTGCAGCATAGGTGGCCAATTCATTTCTGTTAATTACTTTCCCTCCTGTCAAGGAGAGTTAAAACTATTCTAGGACCAAGAAAGCAAAATTACTCAAACTAAGAAGGATAAACTTTAGGATAAAGAACAGAAAAATTCCTCTAAAATGGATAGGAGTGAAGAAAGGGAACAGAATGGACAGCTGAGTTCAGTAACAGAAATAGCATCAGCCTAGGAAATGGCTATTCATAAACCTTTGCTTCCACATGTACACTGTATAGATCTAATTATTAGAAAGAAAATGGAATAGGTTGATGTGTAGACAAAGCAATATGTTAGAAACTAGATTTCAGCCTAGCTGTGCAACTATCTGCCTGTGTGACTGCTACCAAGTCACTTAACCTCATTGACATTAGTCATCTGTTAAATGAGAGGTAGATATGATGATTAGCTCTAAGATGTTTAGAAACAATGGGAGGTATCCAAATGGGGAAATCTGAAGTTGTTTGAATTTTGCTGCAGAAATACTCTATTAAAATAAAAAAGTTTTATTACTGAAAACATATAATAAGAAATCCTACCAGAGCACTACCAAGCTAGTGTCTTCAAACTCTGCCATAAACTGTTTGGGAGGAGGAAGGAGAAGAAGAGAGGGGTAAGGTACCAAAAATGGTTCCCTGTTCTTGACTATGCCCAAATATCCATATACAATTTTGCTATGAGAAGTATAAGAAATAAATTGTACTGATAAAAATGAACACAGTCTAATAAAACTTATATACTGAGTGCTTAATATTTTAGCAGGTACTGTGTTTTTTACATGCATCACCTCATTTATTTTAACAACTCTAGTTATTACCTGCAATTTACTAATGAAGAACCTGAACCTGACTCCAAAGTCTCAGCTGTTAACTAAATTGAGAAAATAGAATAAGGAAAGATAACAATTTTTTTGTGGTATCACCATTATTTTTTCAGTTCATGATATAATACTTTAGGGAAATCAAAGAGAATGAGTGGGACAGGCTCTAAGCTCAATAAGGGTGGGGAACGGTCTGTTTTGTTCACAGGTGTACTCTCAGCTCTGAGACAGTGCTTGAAACACAGTATGTGCTAAATAGGAATTCTGGTTGCTGAGGTATTTCAGTAGGCCATTTAAGTGGCGCTTTCAACTCTGGTTTCATCCCTTTTTCTGAACTCTTCAGTACTGTGCACTGTTCTAAATATGACTGCTATTTAAGTTGGCATGCTATATCCGCTGGAGAGATTAGTGGTCGTTTTTGAACAGACTAAAACAAAGAAAATGTTACTCAAATTTCCTCAGCTGTAAAATGGTGTACTTGGATTCTTAAAGTTGCTTGCACATCAGAAAGTTGGATTCAATCGACGGCACACAGAAAGTTGGATTCGTTCTCCCTTCTCAGCTGGTTAACACGTAATCGTTTATGCTGCCAAAGAGATGTGTGTGTATACATGCATATATGTGTGAAAACTTGCAGCTTTTTAAAATAGAGTGCGAGCCCTGCCCTGCGCCTTAGGCAGGCAGCTGTCCCCTTTGGCTCTGTTCACCCGCCACCTGCAGGTTGTGACTTGGCCCCAGCACCCCCCCAGCAGGAGCAAGAAACCAAGTGATGCGGTGGGAGCGGGGCTGCTAGGAGAGGGCTCCCCCCAGGATTATCCCGGAGGAGCTTGGGCCAAGGTTAACCGAACCTCCGGCGCCCGGCGCAGCCTCCCTTCCTCAGGGAGGCCAAGGAGCGGGACTCAAATCCGCTGAGGTCAAGCCATCACTCGGGCCCACCCGCACTACGTCTCCATCCTACTCCGCTGTCCTCTCCTCGGCGCGGTGCGGCGCTGGCGCGCTGGCTACTCACCATGGCGGCAGGCGGGAGTCTGTAGCCTAAAGGAGAGAGGTCTCGCCAAGCCTGGGATTACCAAGGGTTGCTGGACCGCAGAAAATGGGGAGGGAGAGTAAATTGTTTAGAAGCCTCCGGTTGCTAATGGGAACGGAGGCACGTGGCCTACAGTTATGCATTTTCATTGGTCCTCAAGATCACGCGACAGGAAGTACCCTATGAACGGTCGATGGCTGCAAGAGCATTGGCTTGCAGAGCCGGAAGTCCCTCCTTTTCATGCCACGTTCACTTTGGGAGCTGACCACCGTTGCCAATGGTAACGGGAAGGGGGGGCCTCTGGGCATTAAACGCGCTTGCGCACCTCGGCGTCGGAGTTTGGGTAAGTGGAAAAGTCCTGTCCAGTGCTTCCTGAGGCCTAAGCGCCCTCAAGGCTCGTTCCCCGAGGGCAGATTCCAAACTTTCACAGTTGTTTCGGGGCGTCAGGCGGGCTCAGCCCAGACATTTCTCTCCCAAGAATTCCTGCCTTAGCCTCAAGGTGGCTAAAATGGCTAGCAACACCCGCGCTTCCAGGCTCCCAGAATGACCCCTCCCCCCTACTCCGCCCCTCATTAGTACTATTATTTTTTCTTCTAAATTCTCTAGAACCTTTTCCCTAAAAGTAAAATGCAAGAAGCATTGGTTTTCTCAAAGAGCAATGAATTTCAAACATTTTTTATGCCTAGAAACACTAGGGAACCTTGAAAAAAATTCCCTGGCCTTGCCCCTGGAAATTTTGATTCTCGAAGTCTAGCTGGGGTCCTTGGAATCTGCACAGTCTGCCGACGTTCCAGGAGTGATTGCGGACTATTCTTTTGAAACACTGTCTTAAAAGGGCCAAAAGTGTAGGACAAGATAGATTCTTGCCAAAACCAGGAGCTCGGAGTCCTTCACTCAGATGATCCAGAGTTGATGTGCAGGCAAATACCCACGACAGGATCTCAAGCCTCAGGAACAAGAACAGTAGAGAGAGTTCTCTTGAGTGTGACGTGGAGCACTTCAAAGCATGGATAGTCTGGCTTGGCTTTGCCCAACTTCATCTTCGGCCAGGCTCCTTGCCCTTGGTCTGCAGTGGCATCTGGGCAGAATCTGTCTTCTTACAAGGTCCATAGGGGCAGGTTTTCTTCATTCTGCAGGATGACTGCCTTCAATCTCAGTAAAATTTCTGCTTTACCATGCCACCTCTCACATTTCTGTTCAATTTTTGTTGAATTTGATAACAATGGTTACCATTATTTAGTGCCTACTATGGGCTAGATACATTCCATTCCAATAGTAAATCCTCATAATAGTTGTTTTTTTTTCTTACTTTGGTAGACATTCATTATATTCACATAATGAGAAGGTCACTTTACTAGGTGTTGTGGATGCAAGATAAATAAGGAGTTTCATAAAGACGCTTATAACATATAAATAAACAATGTTCGACAGTTTGCATTGCTGAGGAGACTTAAGTTTATTTTTTCAAAGGCAAACTGCTGTGCTTGCTAAGTGTTATTAATTCAGGGGAACCAAAGGAGTGGGTGTATAATGCAAATATTACATTTGTGAAGATGTTTGTGGCTTGGGGATTTTTAAAGTTCTGCAAAACTGCATCAGCTAGTTTTAAATTCTATTTTAGTTTAAAATCCAAATAGGTTATAATATCTCTGCTAACCAATCTACGCAAGAGTTGAATGTTGTTACATAAGCTGTCTAAATAGTGTCAGCAAATACGAACCTGTATTTTCAATCTTAAATGGATGAATTTGGCTCATGAAAAGGCTGAACTTGTACTTCAGTTTGTTTACTAGCTTGGGTTGATCACCAAAGCAAACAATTCTCGCTGTGAGGGAGAACAGCTCCACCCTACTTTACTTGTGAGCTTTTTAGATCCCTGTATTTTTTTAAATTGCTGTGGCAATTTTTTAAATATGCATGTGTGTGTGTATAAATTTGGAGGAATTAGATGGGAGGCACACAAACAAGGCCATTTTGTATCTTTTAGCATAGTTCAACATGAATAAAATGAAGATCACTTCATATTATAATATTATGAAATGAGACTTTTATGAGTTTATAAGTTACCAGTCATAATACTAAGACCACCAATTTCAAGGTGTTTGCAACCTAGTTGTGGCAAAAGGAGAAATGGGAAGGTAGACATAGTCTTCTTAGGGATGTTGACAGACTCACTCAGTCTGCCACTATTGACAGAACCTCCATAGTGTGCAAGGTTTGTGGCCATGATAGTGAATCCGAGGTGAGAAGTGGAGGGACTAGGAAAGCCCCAGCTCCCCACACTCTATAGATCTTTGGGTCAGGTGGGGGGGGACTAAGGTGAGGCTTTACTTAAGTCAAAAGAGAAAATAATAAAATGATTAAGTAAAAAATAATATAGGCAATATACAAAAAATGCAAAAATCTTGAAGGTTATATGGGAAATAGGAAAATTTGAGAAACATTGAACTGGTGGTAGGTGGAAAATAGGGGGAAATCATTTGGGGAGATTATCTTGAAAAAGGCAGAGTCTTTGGAGTTTGGCTTCTTGTATGTAATTCTACCAAAGGCCTCTCCAGCTTCTTCACCTTGCCCAGTTACAGCTGAGAAAGTAGCCAAGATGTTAAAGAAGGGAAGAGCCCAAATTAAAGGGGCTTGTATAGGAGCTATGGCATTTAAGTAGGTCTCTGTTAGGTGAGAGGCTATTTTCAGTTGCTTTCAAAATGCCCTAGTGACTTGTAGAGTATTGGAAGGTGCTGACAAATTAGATTAGTGGAATCACTATCACATGCATTAAAGGAGGTCAGGCAAGGAAGTGGCTCACCATAAAATACAACTCCCTGTAAGATTGTGTGGATGATGGCAATTACTTAGCCCAAATTGTAGATTAGTTTCACTGATAAATCTGCATGCATTAACAATACCTCAAAGGAAACAAACACCAAAGCCATCAAAATGTGAAGGCTACCTCAAAAAATGTTAAGAATTGGTTGTAAGGAATACCTTCTTGTAGAGTTCAAGAACAAGTAATTGTCAAGATGATATGTACTAAATCCTTATTCCCCCCACTCCTCCCTCCACACACACATTTGAGACAAACTGACAAGCTCAGTCCTTGTATCATCAACTGTTCATGAAAAGCTGGATAAATGAAAGACACTGTGGGGAAGGGAACCATGAGTAAGATGAGATTTGTCCCTTTCAAAAGTGGCTTTATAATCAAGTCAAGGGAAAATGCAAGCTTGCAAAACAATCTCAAAACAGACAGTAAGTAGTAAGGGCGTTCAGAGAAGGAAATGGTGACCCCTATTGAGATGGAGAAGAGAGGTTCAGGAAAGTTTTCCAGAGGGCAGTGCAATTTGAGCTAGGCCTTAAACAGTGTGTGAAAGAGCTGTGTGCGAGTGTGATAATTGTGGGAGAGAGAGGGTTTTCCTGCACGAGGAACCAGGATTTCATCAGGTGCCTCAGTAGAACTGTCCAGAGATGTACATTTAGATTTATTATTATTTCAAGGAGAAAAATGCAAAAAGAGATATACTGGTAGCCTGTACAATGATGGAGCACTTGAAAAATGTCTTACTCAGGAATATAGGCCTTCCTAGATCTGTGATCTTCCCTAAATGTTTACCTGGACTACTGGCAATGTAAGGGTGTTCACCAATTGCATCTTATCTTAGAAAGTGGGGAAAAAAAGACAAATCTGAGGAAGTTTTGCCTACAAAGGTGGGGCTTTGTAGTCCCTTTTGAAGAACTGAATAGCCTAGTGCAAGCTATGTTCATGACTGGAAGTTTTCTCAGTGGGATGGGTAAACAATGCCTGAAAAATATAGTGAAAGCAAAAGGAATGCCATTCTTGGCCAGTTTATACAAGTCAAGCTCCTCGAAGGAAGAAATCTTTATTATTTGATCAACCTGAGCTTCCCATCAAGAGCTGGGCCATGATTTATTTCTGAGCAATGTTTGCAAAATTAAATTGAAGATAAGCAGGCACATCTCAACAGATGTTTGTGAGCCCCTGCTAGGTTCCAGACACTGTGTTTGTGGGTGGCTTTTGGCCCTGGGCAGGCCTTCTCTTGGAAAGTGTATAATATGATAAACATATTCAGTTATCCCAATTTTCCATGTTAAATAGAATTTTGGGATGGTTTATATAAGTTTTCTAATTATGAGTATTTCAGAATGAGTTATTTAGTTCTTGTGGTTTAACCATTATGTTTTTATATAACTATGAACTGAATTCTAGTTGACCAGTTGACTTAAGCTACATTTTGAAGACATCCCATAAAGCAATTGCTAATTTATATTTTGTGGTTTCTTTTTACATTTTAAGCCCAGTGCATTTATAATCGACCCTTGAACAATGAAGGGGCTAGGGGGGACTGATGACCCATGCAGTTGAAAATCCACATATAACTTTTGACTTCCCCAAAACTTAACTACTAATAGCTTGCTGTTGACCAGAAGCCTTAGCAATAACATAAACAGTCAATTAACACATATTTTGTATATATTATACACTATATTCTTACAATAAAGTAAGCTAGAGAAAAGGAAATGTTCTTAAGAAAATCATAAGGAAGAGAAAATATATTTACTATTCATCTGACAGAGGGAAGTAAAACTCAGTAGAAATCAACCAGGAGGGAGGAGGGAGGAGGGGAGGGGCAAAAACCTAGCTAATGGATACAATGAACACTATTTGGGTGACAAGCACACCTATAGCTAGGACTCAAGCATTACAAAGTGATCTATGTAGCCTAAAACATTTGTACCCCCTTAAAATTTTGAAATAAAAAAGTCATCTACTTTTAGAAGATAATGTTGCCAAAAATGTCATCACTTTGCCAAAAATATTAGTGAATAAGTGAATAAATCATGAGTAGAAAGACAAACTACCTTGACAGGGAAAAAATAACCCAACGCACTAAAAACCAAGATGCTATAAAAGAAAGTTATGTATTTGGTTTACTGCTCCCATTGAGGCTGAGACACCCACCTAGGGCACTGGAGTTAACCAAGTGGTGGATATCTCTCTGGGAGTGGAGGGAACTCACCTGACCTCTACCTGAACAGCCTGCAAAGCTTACCCAGCACTGTCAAGTGCAGATGGAGCAGAAACATGGCAGGATATCTTTATTAAACCATCCATGAACAAGACTGTGGAGAATACCTTCCAACAACCAACATGCACAGAATGATACTTTTGGTGTTTGTTTAGAATTGAAGATAAATGGTTCCCAAGTTCTTATG